AAAAAAACACAAAGGAAACTTGTTTTGGTTTTTAAAAAAAAAAAAAAAAAAAAAAAAAAATCACTGGATTCCAGGAGAGAAGCATGAGCTGCGGACAGCTAGACACAGTAGCAACTCCCTGTCCTGTATCAGATCTGGAGAAGCAGGGAAGCCAGAGCATCTAGATCAGGGCAAGAAATACACGAAAAAATACATGACTGCTCAGGTGAGCAAGCAAAGGAGGAGGAATAGAGGAGCTAAAAGGAGAAGCAAGAACTCTGTATAAGGGATTTCATTGTGAAGTGTCAGCAGAAGAAATCAAATTAGTCACAAGACAAGTTCCAGCTCTAAGGACCCCCACACAGCAGCTCCCTCTAATCAGCCAGGAGAAATAATGAAGCAGAGAAGGAAAAAGACAGCATGTCTTGAATGCACAGACAATATTCAATATGAAATATTCAACCAACAAATTCAGCGACTGCACAGTAAGGAATAAACACTTCTTTTTGCTCAGTATGAAATGAAAGACAACCTTAGCATGGCTGATTGAACTGCTTCCCTGACTGGGTGCTCTTACTGTGTGAATATTATCTGCAGGGGAACACACTTCTCTGCAGGCATTTGCCTGGCTCTGTGAATGGAAGAACTTAGCATTTTTGCTTTTACCAGCAGAACAAGCCACCTCAGACAAATGAAATGGAATAATGGAAATATTAAGGTCTATGCTTGCGATGCACCCGTCTCACAAATGGGCCCAGCAGCCACCATATTTCTGCTGTTCCAGACCACAAAGTGGCTTGGGAAAAGCTACTAGGCAGTGACTCTTCTGCATTATGTCCCCTCGTTTACATCTTACACAAATAAGGCCACAATGACAGGGGAAGACATTCACTCACCCTGTACTTCTGAATATTTAATTGCCGAAGCATGAAATGACAGCTTCACAGAACAACATTCTAAGGAAAAAAAGGTCTACCACCACTTAAAAAGTCAGAAAGGGATTAATAACTTGCTTTTCTGGGAATAGCTAGTGTTACCAGTGTCCTTCATAAAGGGACTTCACCCTGACACAAAGGACATGGAGCTTTAACAACATGGATCTCAAGTACGTACCACTGCAGCAAGTGAACATGAAAGTTTTGATAGTAGCAAAGTTGACAGCATCCTCTGCTGGCAGCAGCAACATAAAAGCCCACGTTTTTGCGGAGTTCACAGCTCTTATCAAACACACCTCCCTACTACACTACCACTGTAGACTAATTCTGTGACCATGCTCAGAATCATCCTACGTTTTAATCACAATATACACAAAGGGGATAAAAATTCAGTGAAATACTTAAAGTACTCAGGGAAAATCCCATATTTAAAAGGAAACGACTGATGACAGACTAGAAAGGTCATATTCTCTTTTCTGCTAAAATGGATTTTAATCTAAATTCCTGAGCTTTTGGTCTCCATGCCATCTAAACAATCCATTACTATACTTCCATTTATTGGAAAGGGATTGCAATAAATTTGTTTTCTGGGATTACGCTGCGTATCACTAGAAGTCCAAAAGCAGATGCTGGAGAGCAGACTTTAAAAGTTTGTCAGGAGAACCACTCAGAAGAAAATACAGTGGCTTACAGGAGTGCTCTTCTAGGGTTTGGATGCAGAGTCATTCCTCACTTTGACACAAGAGGCCATTTGCTCTCCTTACAGGAAACTAAGCCTTAACTTAACACAGAGTCACAATCACCAAGTCTTCCAAAAAAACTATCCCAGGAACTTCAGCTAATTTGACAAAGTTGTACAGATAGAGCAAGTAAAAGTAATAGAACGTGTCTGGCTGTCTCCTACAGCCTTAGACCAAAGAACTAAGTCCTGCAAAGCCTCTTAGTGGTTCTTGTTCTGTCTCAAGATCTGAAGGCCCTAATAAAGTTTTGGCTCCCCACCTGTTTCATGAGAGAAAAAGATTCTCCTTTTCTTTATTTAACCAGTCTTTTAAATCTGGTTGAGATAGCCTGATGTGTTGAAGGTAGCCTAAAGCATCCTTAATTTTCATAACAGAAATGACAAGGCCCATTTGTAGCAATCACTGCTCTAATTATTGACTGAATGACTCAACTTAACCTGCTCCTACAGGAAGCCCAAGATGTCTTTGATTGGTAAACAGCAGGAAGCCACAAAGCAGTCTTGTGCTGACAACAGGCTCAAGCAAGAGGGCAAGGCAGCATGCACACTTACTCAAAATCTTCAAATTCCAGATCATTTCCTTCTACAGATGGGCTTGAGTTCTCTGAAGTGGAAGAGGAGGAGGAGGAAGAACGGAGACGGTTTTGTTGGTAACGCATAGAGCGTTGTCGAATACTGTCCCTTCGGGAAAGATACTGGATCATCCTCTGAGCATAATATGCAGCAGGAGACAACCTGAGCAGGAGAGAGACATACAGACACTTGTTACACAAGTGTAGAATGACAGCCGGTTCTATTTTTCCTTTTGAGCTCCAAGTGCCAGGACAGTAACAGCATATCACAAAATTGGCTGTTTGCATTTTATTCATGAGTAAGACAGAGTAAATAAAGAAAGCAAGTAGAAGTCATTTTCCCTTTATACACTACGCTCCCACGTGATTCCCTTGTTGTGCAAACAGAAGCACTACACAGTACCTATAGACAAAAAGCTCATCCGCAGCACAGAGAAGTTTGCTTCTCAGGACTCTTTGGAGCCCATTGTTTCATTTATTACCAGTTCACACAACTAGCCCCAGCAAGCATCCCTGGTAAGAATCAAGCCCACTCCCAACGTGAACTCTGCTTGCAATGCCAAACAGCAGCAGTGGTCCAATAAACATTGAAGGAAGGTGCTGTTGTTTTGAGGGTACTTAACAGGAGCACCATAAAGTTATCAAGCAGGAGAAAAAAAGGTTTAACAGCTTTGTTTCAACTATTTTGTAATCCATATGGTAGGGATTTCATATAGTGGCAATTTCATCACATCCACTAGATGTATGTTAACAGGAGTGTTAAAAGCCTTGCTTCCCACCTGGAAGGAAAACCTTCCTCTGCAATTAGCTCTTAATTCTCTCTCATGCATAACTTGGCCTTTGCACCAGCTATCACATGCCAGTATTATCGCCTTCCTTGATGCTAGACAGGTAAAAACACACTCTCTTTTCCTACCCTGCATACATCCACAACTCCTAGCACATGCTTTCTGTGACACAGTTACTCAGTATTAAAGTCCAGACACCTCAGATGATTGAATAATCATTTATTTAGCCTTATTTGAGTAGCCTTGAACTGTAATTTAGGGGGAGGAGGGGAGATGACACAAACACCCCCCCAAGTAATTAGACATCAAGATGTCTATTCCTTTCATTTCTAGCTTCATCCCCTCCCCTTTCCATACACGTGTTTGATTTTGTTCTTTCTTATTCAATTCAAGTTATCAGACTGGAACTTCCCAGGGTCATGAAAATACAACCTCATTTCCTGCAAAGGCACCACAGGCAAGAGACTGATAATGGAGAGAGCAGCCCTAATTTTTAGTCTACAAATGAAAGTGTGAACAGCTTTAAACAAAGAAAAATAAACCAAGAAACCTCAAATGAACAGTGAATTCCAGGGGATAGTCTAGAGATGAAAATATACTCGTTTGCAATCACAAAGAGAGGTGGCCGATCTGCCTTATAGGAATGCTACCTACCTTCAGAACAGAGTTTCAAGCTAAATTCATTTTACAGTGGACCTCACCATCAGCCATAAACACTCTTAAGCATACGTTTAACATTATAGTGACCAATACCATACAGTTTCACTGTGTTACATTACAACCAGTGGCAAAAATGCAACTCCATAATCATCTCTGATAATATTATTGTTAGAAGACTTATTATTTTTTCTCCCTTCCAGAGCTGTGCTGATTTTATGGGAATGTACTGGGAATAAGATTTTGCTTATATATGGATAAGTTTCACATCCACAATGGCATGAGCAGCAAACAATCAGACCAGGTCTGATAAAATGCTTTGCTACTATCCCTAAAGTCATATTTCAATGGAAAACTACATATAATAGTATTTCTAGACACTGCTCCCTAGAGCAGCATGAAAGAAATGTACTAATTCTTCAAGGGATAGACTGTATTAACGTATTTTGGTTGCGGACGCCCATCAAGGACATTCAATCTCCCATTTTGCCATACATTCAGGGCATATAAGCAAAAGAGAAGGTGGTAAGAAAGAATGAATTAGAAGTCACGTAGACACAAAGAGAGAGCGTCTTCCCCAAGGTAAGCTCCCTGTACTCTACTAGGCTGCCATCTTGGTAAAGAGGCAAGTTTAGCAGACAGACTACAGGCTCAGGGGTCTAAAAACTTAGTCAACGAGCAGCAAAAGGGTAAGGGGAACCACACACTCAGTTTGTTTTGGATTCCTCCTGGATCTTTTATGCACTGTTTGATGAGTTAAAGCTGTTTATGCTCATATAACGTCAAAGGCTTCGCTGTACAAACACAGCACTTCTCTCTACTCCCCTGAAGACTTAATAGGCCAAGTATAAAAAAGCAAGGCATTCAGAAATGAGGAGCTGTTCTCTTTGGCCTTCTCCATAAGCCAAAGCCTCTGTGTATGCCTAAAAATAAGTCTATGGCATAATATGTGCACATAAAGAAAGAATGGAACATGGAAACAAGGAAACACTGGAAAACAAGAACAGTGGTCTCAGCAGTCCAGCACTGTAATCACTGAAACTTTTTTCTTTGCTAATATCACACCAAGGGAGAGTTTTACAGAAGGATGTGAAGAATGAGTTTTGCAGACATTTAGTCATCTTAAATTATGCAGCACATCACAAGAAAAAATACAATAATGCTTGTTAGAAGAACAAGAAAGAGTACCCAATAAAGACTGGCCATAATGGCTGACGAGATGCCAGATTCAGCTTCCTGACAGCACATGGTATGTAGACAGGATAGACTGTGAAAAAGATTTCCAAAGAGAAGACAAAAAGCTTACATCTGATACATAGAGAGAAAGGTGTAAGGGATTAAATACAAAAGGGGAGGCAGGAAACATACTCAAAGCAATAGGCTAAGGAATTAATCTTTGCAGATGAGTGCATGCAGGGGGGAAAAATTGCATTTGTCAGGCTGTATCTGTCTTTGGAATACAGTTATGACACAAATCAGAACCAGAGCTGAGAGCCAGCATAGGAGATTTAGCTCTCCTGGAGGGAGGAGAAGGCTGCAAAGCAGCATAAGAAACACCGGTTAACAATAAACATATCTCTGTAGTTCATTCAGTTATTGAACACAACTGTAAATCAGCCCCTGACCAAAGTTAGTCTACCAGCTGGCTAAACACATGCCAGCCACAGCAGGCTACCTAGTCCTTTTATTTCTTACCTGTGCTTCTAACAAAGCGGTGGCAAAACACAGATAGAGGTTATCCAGTAACTCTTAAACCAACTTTGCGTCCACAGGACAGTAGGCTGTATTTGACAATAACATGAGCTAAATTAACCCAGTCTCTGAGGTGACTGGACCCCATTTACTGGAGCAGATGGTTCAGAGGAGGAGAGGCTATGCTGCCACACATGACCGCCATAGAACAAGGCACCGAGTGGGAGAAATGCTGCAGTGCAAAAGCCAGAACCAAACAGCTTCTGTCTCATCCAACAACCATGTCATCGAGAGGCAGTGCATTCTCTAGGCACCCAGTGCTGCTGGCTGGCCGGCCAGTGAGAAGTGGAACTGATGGAAGGAAATGTTTTGCTAGCATTAAAGTTCAAGTATCTTGCTCTAAATGGCATTATGAGTACTAAAGAGCGAGCTACTACATAGCACAGTGTCCTCAGCTACAGCCAGATATCCAATCCAGCTGGCTGTATTTATGGACAGCGTGAAAATTTTTTACACAAAGTCTGCTTCTCTTCACCCTCCCCCATTTTAGTATCTTCTAAGAAAATAAATTTTTAAAAAAGTCACAAGAACATCAACTGGAGAATGTCTAGACCCAGTTCCCCAAGACAGCCACAAGAATTGGTTTATCTGCATCCTAGAGCTCTATACTGCTGTGCAAATCTCCATGCTTCCTAGCATTTCAGAAGTACTGACACCACTCATCAACCCTGCCTTGATGCTGATGGCCAGAATGTTCACTGACATTATTACAGCTCACACCTCTAAATGCCTCTCAGCCAGCGCACATGTTTTAAAGGGGTTACCTGACGGGTGTCATTAATTTCCTTGGTGATATCTACAGTAGCATACGTACCACCAATCCTTGAGCTGAAGGCAATGCTGGTAGTGGACACCAACTTTTGGTTGCTTCCATTTCACTTAAGCCTTCAACTCACAGGCAACATTCAGCCTGAGGGTCCCTTTCCCGGTAACTTTCTAGCAGCTTAGATATTTTTCTAGAGATGATATCTATGAAACACCCTTCTGATGCTTTATATATGCAGCCTCAGAGCATCTTTTTGATTATTTCTATTTAAAAAAAAATAATATAGGTGTTCTTTGATGACAGCTTTATTTGATTCCTCTGCAGATTGTTTTCTGAGCTCAGTATGTATGGAAACTGTGGAGAATGACAGAAAAGCCAAGCTGACCTTAGAGAAGTTCAGCAAGGCCGCTGAGAAAGACTGCTGCTGCCTACATCAGAATATTCATTCTAAATGTGAGGGAACTTCAAACAGTGTTCTTCCTGCCTCACTCCTGACCTAGGTTATTCAAATATAGCACCATTACAGACAGTAGATGAGAAACAAACACACACACATACTCTTAAAAATAAATTCTTCAGATCATGCAGTTTAAAAAAAAAAAAAAATCCATTGGAGACAGCTTGGTCTTAAGGATGTATATCTATTTTCCTCAGGGGTCAGTATTGGGACCAGTACTGTTTAACGTCTTTGTCGGCAACAGGGACAGTGGGATTGAGTGCACCCTCAGCAAGTATGCTGACGACACCAACCTGCGTGCTGCGGTCAACACGCTGGAGGGAAGGGATGCCATCCAGAGGGACCCTGACAGGCTGGAGAGGTGGGCCCATGAAAACCTCAGGAAGTTCAACAAGGCCAAGTGCAAGGTCCTGCACCTGGGTCAGGGCAATCCCAAGCACAAATACAGGCTGTGCGATGAGTGGATTGAGAGAAGCACCTCTGTGGAGAAGGACTTGGAGGTGTTGCTGCATGAAAAACTGAATATAAGCCAGCAATGTGCACCTGCAGCCCAGAAAGCCAATCGTATCCTGGCCTGCATCAAAAGAAGGGCTAACAGGTCGAGGGAGGTCATTCTCCCACTCTGCTCTCATGAGACCCCACCTGGAGTACTGTGTTCAGCTCTGGGGCCCCCAGCATAAGAAAGACACGGACCTGCTCGAGCAAGTCTAGAGGAGGGCCATGAAGATGATCAGTGGCCTGGAGCACCTCTCGTATGAGGACAGGCTGAGAGAGTTGAGGTTGTCCAGCCTAGAGAAGAGAAGGCTCCAGGGAGACCTTACAGCAGCCTTCCAGTACCTGAAGGGGGCCTACAGGAAAGATGGGGAGGGACTTTTTACAAGGGCAGGTAGCGATAGGACAGAGGGTAATGGCTTTAAACTGGAAGAGGGCAGATTTACATTAGATATAAGGAAGAAATTCTTCACTATGAGGGTGGTGAGGCACTGGAACAGGTTGCCCAGAGAAGTTGTGGATGCCCCATCCCTGGCAGTGTTCAAGGCCAGGCTGGATGGCAGGCGGAACCAGATGATCTCTGCCCATGGCAGGCAGGTTGGAACCAGATGATCTCTAAGGTCCTTTCCAACCCAAACCATTCTATGATTCTATGATTTTTAACATATATTGAAACACGCATACACACACAGACATATACAGATGTTTATTTCACCTTTGTTTCACTTTTCCACTTTGCTATTTAAGAACATCTCAAAGTCATAACTTTGTTACAAACTTAACGATGCTACAAAAAAAAAAAAATCAAAATGCAATAACACTCCATTGAATCACATCCCTGATTTCTAACAAGTTAAAGGGACAGTTAAAAAGATCCTACTAGCCTAGCACACCAGTTAGGTTTATGGAGGAAGACTCTGATCTTACCCCACTCAAACTTCCAGCTCATGCTGATTATGCATCTATGAATCTCACCCTCTGAAAAGGACAGTGAAGCTTACTGGAACAAGTTAACCCTCTTAGAAGAAGTTTCAATACTGGACTTTTCTTCCAAAGCTCCTTATAAACTCAAGCTACTATAGCTTCTACCACAACCTAAAAACACTTGAACTGTCACACGAAGAGCATCATATCAGTTAAAAAATGGCTTCCAGTACAAAAATATTTTTTACTATGCTCTTTATGCTAGGAAATGTCTCAGGCAGTGATCCCTTTTCATACATTTTATTGAGCTTCATCATAGCAGAGATCTGACAGAAGGGAGGGGAAGAAAAAAAAAAAAAAAAAAAAAAGAATTCAGTAACCTAGGCAGGCCCTCCTCCTTTTCTTTTTCAAAGGGCAGCTCCCAGAGAGCCAGAATCAGTTCTTACAATCTCTGCTCAATAAATCTCCCTGCTTTGGATTATGCATTCCAGAAATAAGGAATGGCAGCCATTTAGCAGCTCTTGGCATTCATAAGTTAACCTGAAAGTAGCAATACCTTTTAATTAACATCTGTAAAATATAATTTTCATCTTTCCAGGTAAATCTGTCTTTTAATCAACTGCCATTTAGAAAGCTTTTATATTTATCAGCATCACTCTGACATGCAATTGCCAAAACCTTCTGCAGCTACCTAGGTTGGTTTCCCAATGACCTTACATATAGGTAGCACGCTCCACCTTACTTTTACCTCACTACAAACAGTTTTATTTACATCATTCCTGAGCCTTTGGATTATCTTTACAAAGCAACTTTTTTGCAATAAATGGAAAAAAAGCCTAATATGAGATTTTACCTCTACAAGGCTTTATCTACAGAGATAGTCAGCAAGGAGCTATTTACCAGCATAATTATACCATGTGGCCAGTTTGCAACATAGCCTTTTGTTTCAGAACTTGTACTTAGAGCATCATCTGTATAAAAATGCAGATTTTGTTGTTAATGATGTAAAAAATAATGAGATTTAAAAAAACAAAAAACAACAAAAAACCCCACAACCAAACCTCCTTCAGCAACTTAGATATTTAATTTTGATACACTGGTATTCCTGTACTCTCCTTTATGATAAATCCTAGTCGCCTTCAGTTCTTGCAGCTATGCCAGAGGTTTCCTAAGAGGCTAAATCAGATATATTTTACACTTACTGAATTTTCCTCATTCATAGCTTTGTTAAACCCATCTAAAAGAAAGCTTATTTGTCACGATTCATTCTTTGAAAGCTTCCAAAGCTGCTTGCTGTTCACGATTCTATCATTTCTTCTGAGTCTGTGGGTCACATTATCCCATCTGTTGCTTTCTTATTACACTAAGGAGAAACTGCAAAGATCACTCCTTTCCATTTTTGATAACTCTGCCATGTTTGCTTTTTCTAGTCCTCTGAAACACTCCCACCTCTTCTGGAGATTAAGCACCACTACAGATGTTTATGTCTAATGTCAATGATTCATGACTCTTCAGAAATAATTGTCAGTATTTTGTTCTTAGTTAAGTATACTTAACATTCTGGTTATGCTCTCTCATACAGATACATTTATGGAGACATTCCATTCTTCCAAGCACACTGTCTGCTCACACCAGCTCCTAACTGCTTTTACTGCGTTCTCCCTTACTCCTGAATAGACTATTTGTTTTTTCTTCATTTTTCTTCAATAGAGATTTGAAATTTATGGATATCATCTCATTTACTGTTGGGCCTGCTTGCCACCTACTGTTCTCCATCCCAAATGATTTCAGGAATCCTTATGTGCTTACTTCAACAGTAATTTCTTCCTCTTCTCCTCATTTGCTCCCAGATTTAACAGCACCTTCTCATTTGGTTTGCACCCTGCCCCCATCGCAAGTCATTGAGGAGGAGATGGGCCCAATATTAGAACCATTCCCAAAGGATTCAGTGAGTTATACCAAAGTTATGCTTTTGTCTATGAAACTTAAATGCCTTTAGATTGCATTAAATACCTTAGACTGCATTTAGCTCTTACCTGGCTGGATCCGGGTAGATCGGATGTTCCCGGGACCCTGCTCCATCATAGCGAGATAATGAAATGAGGGAAGACTCCAGTAACCTCCTAGAAAGGAAAAACAAATCATGAAGTCAAAGACCCTTCAGGAACATCACCCCTATTTATGCCCTACTTTCTGAAACCTCTTAAGACCATTTCTATCAGTGCAGAGAATTCTGCAACATACTGAAACACTCACTGATGGCATGTTTTCACCATATAGCTATTCAAAGTGTAATATTCTCACTGCACAGAAGAAAGAACACCTCCAGTAAGAAAGAAGAGTGGCCCCAACCCCGCTTCCAAGTTTCAAGACAAAGATACAGATGCTACTTCTCCTTTGGAGACAAGCCATCCCAATTCGTCAGGTCCGTAAACACTAACGCTGCATTGGCCATCTGTCAAATTCTTACCTACTCAAAGGTGGCTACACAGGGAACGGGCCAAGGAGCATGGGACAAAGAACACAGCTCAGCATGTGGACTCTAAGGGCACTGCTGGTGTTTATTCAGAGCAAGATATTCAGTCTCAAGGCTCAGAAAGAGAGGTTTTCAGCTACAAAATGTTCGTTTCCTCTGTATCTTAATCAGCCACAGAGAGAGATACCAAATATTCACTCAAGAAGTAAATGCATGCAAATGCAGCCAGACAGCTTGAATATGCGAGAAGCGAGTCTGAGTCATGAAGGCAGCAGAATCAGAAGTATATAGCAGGAACATGTCCTCCACCCTGGCTTCTACATGCACCTCTATCTAGTTTCTTGTCATAAAGCAGAGGATGGCATTGTTTCAAGACTGACTCATTCAAGCCTGTTGCAGCCATTAGATTAACAAGAGACATGATTTGGGGTGGGTGTGGAGAGTGGAAAAATCAACTGCCAAAGTTTATAAGGCTGCTGAGTTCCCTTTCAAGTCTTTTTACCTCGGAACTCCTGCTACTTTTGTTTTCCAGTATTTGTAACTTAAATGAAAACTGTTGTGGTTTGAAAGTCAAAGAGATCCAACACCGCATCTGTTCTATTCACCCACGCACATAATTGACGAGAGAGATTTGAAACTATCAGTCTTAGCCCCACACTCCTAATTCACAGTTAGCATTTACAATGCAGGACAGCAAGCGTCAACACAGGAAGAAGGACCAGATATAATCCACGCCCAACTTCCCATTTCTAGACAGATAAAGACAGTAGAAATGCAAATGAGACATGTTTTTTCCAGCAGCAGCCCCCCCCTCAGGATCTCACGACAACTTTTCACTGCCTTCCAGCAATTGAAAAAAAAAATTACTTCAATCTTACATTATAAATCTAGAATAGAGAAAACAGCAAGAGATTGCTCCAGTTACTTGGAAAGGCATGTGTCAGCTTGAGAGACTCAGTACTTGCTGCAAAGCACTGGGACTCTACAGAAAGCAAGAAATCCTGTCCTCTCTGCCACGAAGTTGCTTGGCAACCATTTGTCTTATTCAAGAACAGTTATTAAATCTCTTAAACTTTGAGATTAATTAATTCCCCAGGTTATTGAGTCAAAAGCTCTAACCTTCAACTCTGCTAGATATTAGGAATCCCTTGGCTCCCCAGAAAGTTACCATACTTCATTCCTGCCTTACCAAACCCTCTCTCCTGCTCCAAATATGTAAGTCGATATATGCAGAAGCAGCTACTCCAGAACAAATGGTGCAACAGCTTTATGAGGTGTATCTATCACCTGCATCATATATAAACTGCTTTTATTTCTTCTGTGAGGAAAGGTAGACAGATTAAAATTAGCAGAAGGGCTATTCTACCTATTCAGTCATCTGTCCCCTTTCTAAACCACTGGCTCGGAGTTCAGAGACTGGGTTACTGCCACTGCAACGCCAACATGCTTTTTAGAAGTCTGCTCTTCAGAGCTGCTTCTGCAGAGCACTCCAAAACCAGCAGATTGCAAGCAGCCTGGATGTGCCGAAGCTGCCACCCTACTGGACCGTCCTGGACTTAACTGGGGAGAAAGAGATCCCACAGCACGCAGAGCCTGGCAGGTAAACAACCCTAGAAACGGCAGCTGTCTCCTTACAGGTGTGAGCAACCTACACACAAGGCAAGTGGACTGTTTGATGCCATTTCCCTGCAATGCCTACCATGTCCTGATAATGTGCACACACAAATAATCATCAAACTCGTCATCCCTGTCAAAAGCCTTGGCGCCTATACACTACACATGCCTCCCTCTTTCCCAGCCTTTCAGAGTCTATCCAGTAAATGACACAGCAAAATCAGAGCCACAAGGGAAGGTGACCAATACATGCTGCACGGCCCAGCAGGCTCTGTTAGAAAGGAGTCTCCAGGTATTCCCCAGCCATATTTCTCTTCTCACCTTTGGAAAGGCTGGCAATTGCCTGAGAAGAGCAATGGCTTAGAGGGATCACCTTCAGAAAGGAGTCAGCAGCTGCGCTGAAGGAAATTAAAATGCATACCAACCAGAGAGCACCAGAACAGTACGGAAGCAGGAGCAGGGCACACATTGCAGTAATTTGGTATAGGTCTGCCAGGAGTCCCTCTGCTTGGCTTGGGAACAGCACTTCGGGGAATCTACAGTTCTCACCTCTACACCCCATCTGATCTTTGAAATATATACCTCAAGAGCCTTGCTCTACCAGGTACCTGGCACCTCAGATGAGAGCCGGTATGTGTCACTTTAGCAAAACGCAAACCAGCAGTTGCCTGAGCCACAGGATGGCCAGGTATCTGGGTAAACAGACTTCCTACAGGCCTCGCTGCCCTGTGATTTTACCTGAACAGCCTGCAGCTCCACACCATGATGCAACAGGAGCTGCTGCTGCTTGAGGAGCACCTCCTTCAGCAGAAGGGCTCCCTAGGAAGACCAGTGGTTATGGGGTTGTGGGGAGCGGGATGACAAGCGCACTCCATTAAACACACTCCCAGGACCCTCTCTGAGGCTGTACTGTCCGAGTTGAACAGTCTCGGCTAAGACGGCCTCTCCAGCAGAGCTTTCCAAGCCTGCCACGGCCAAACTCAGCTCCTGGGCTATCTCACACTGAGGCACACAAGCCACGTACTAGGGCCACATTCAGATCAGGAGCACAAAGATAATTCACTTAACAGCAAGTGCTAAAAGCTGTAGCTGATTTTAAGCGTGATTGGTAGTTCTTAATTTTCCTGCAACTGTGCCCTCTCAGATCACGGAGCAATGAACAGGTAGATATAAATACACATAGCAGGCAAAAAACCAAAACAAGGCAACATGCAATCGCATGAGATCCAGATGGACCATCTCTGTGCTTAAGGCTCCAGAGAATAACAATATCTGTATTGAAACCAGAGTACTAAACACAAATAAAATCTATTATTTAACTAACCCATTCTAGACTGAGCCCTTCACGCCCAAGTTACAGATCCAAGTGCATTTGGTACTGACAAATGGGTTCAATAATAGATACACTGCTATAATCATCAATAGAGCGTCCCATTTGGGACACTGGTAGTGTAACCTACTGCCCCGCAGGAAGGCGCAGATAAATGTTTTTAAAGTAAGTCATTCTGTGCTCTATCAAGTCTTAGGCGCCACATTCATAGCTTTTGCCACCCAAAGTCCCAAAAGAGACAGACTATTTGTTTTCAGTAAGCCCAAAGTGTAAGGTAGCCCAATATCCTACCACGGTAAATGCTGAGGTTGGGAGCAATTCTGTTAAGAAGGATAAACATAATCCATAGATGAATAGAAGCAGCTCTGTTACAGGGAACTGCTAGCTACTAAACATCTAAGTTTCCAACAGAGAAGCATGCAAAGAGAGAACAGAAATGCATATTGCTTGCATCTCCTTTTGAAACATTTCAGTAGATCATGCTTGACTCCTGAATCCTTTCTGGAGCTTACAGCACCCTCTTACTCTCCCACACCCCCCATTTTTGCTACCCAGATACATAACAGGCTAACACTAGGCTCTGTGGAAGCAATTGCTCCACTATCTCTGTCTAGACAATATGAAATTGTCACAAATGACATCTAAAGTACAATTAGCAGAGAAACTGCAATTTCCACTCTCCTCCCCCGCTCACCAGGAAAAAAAAAAAAAAAAAAAAAAAAACAAACATTAACACCCCCAGGTGTTACCACACACACCACAACAAAAAAAAAAAAAAAAAAAATCACACATTATCATCCTCCAGGTTGTCAGTCAATGCCACAATAATGAAGATTAACTCTCCTCACCCTGGGAGATGCTTCTGGCCCAGCTTGCTAAAATAGGAGGAGGGGGATTGTAGTTTTTTGTTGGTTTATTTTTTTTATTAAAACTACTACAAGATATAAATTGCCTCTGTTCAGCAGCACCGAGATCTCAGCAGACTCCTTTTCTGTCAGACATCAGTAGCTATGGAACCGCCACTCTACACTTGCTCTGTTACCTCAGGTCTGCAAACAGCAGCAACAGCTAGTGAGGGGGGAAAAAAGAAGCAAGGTCCAAGTTACAGGACACCTTTAGACAACGGAGAGAGAAAGAGAGTGCACGCACACATGATGCTACAAGCAGAAAATGGAAATTTCTCAGGAATGAAGCAGCTGAATGCCAGAAGCTGCAGCTTGAGGGGAAAAAAAGTCATGAAACAACCTCCTCACAGCACATCAGCCATTGGACTATACCCACACTCTCCCCACGGGGGCGAGGATCACCACCAAAAGCCTCTTGGGACAGAATGATTCATCTCAGCAGGCTTTGAGAAGATACTTAAATGCAGCAAATTTAACTTCTCAGTAACAGTTTCTAAGGATATGCAATTCCTACACCACATCTTAGATTTGCTGTCACAGCAGCACATTACTGGGTAGCGCTACTCCACACGACACCGAGGGAAGGGCTTTCCTCCCCATCCAAAAGGGAGGCGCTAACAAACAGCACTGAGGCTTAGTTTCCTTAAAATCAAAAGGGTGTTCAGTCAGCTGCCATCCTCCTAAGCTGCTGCTGCACATCGACAACCGGAGCAAACCAGTAAAATGAAACAAGCACTCCTGCCTCTCCCACAGTCCCAGCCTTCAGCTATGAAGAGGGCCTAAGACAGCAATTCATCG